GAAGCGTACTGTACTAAAGCCTCCTCCAGTGTTAAGAGTGAGGCTTCAAGTTGAAGTATTTACTGAAGGATTTACTGAAACAGTAAAACATTCACAGTAAAGCTCATTACAGGCTTCAAATGTCAGAGTTTAAACTAGAGCTGCCATCAGTGTTTTACCCAATGTGGGAAAGGTAATATACACCACCGTTAGCTTGGTATTTCTCTTTACTTTACGCTCTCCATTCTGGGACTGACTTCTTTGGCACTGACATTATAACATGTTATCAACACTACTTATAATGCATTATATTAACAATTCATAATATATAACAAACATGGCTATAAAGTTTAATCCAGTGTAATTCATTTTTATAAATGTTTATAATCATGTTTATAATGCCATATGAAGGCATTATAACATTATAAATGTGTTTATAGATGCTTACAAACGTGACATTCATAGAAAGTGTTACCAAATTAATCACCGTACATTATTACAGCCTAATAAGGCATTATTAGAGTTTATAATTTATCAAGTTACAGAGAGTTATAAGCATGTTTATATTTATGAATACAGTACAGAAAGCGTTACCAAAATGTCCGTCTCTGTGAAGACTATGACCCACACACACACACACACACACACACACACACACACACACACACACACAAACACACATAGCTTGAAAGGAGTCTTTATTGTGATTAACCTGGAATCCCTGCACTGTGTGTGCATGTTACTGTGTGGTGTCTGTTTGGGTGTTGTGTGTATTATGTACTCAAACTGTATGCAAATGTTGAAGCCACAGCCGGGCACTGTGAGCTACTTCCTGGTACTGAAGCGTATCACAACACAGGGATCACATGATGATACACTATGCATGAGAAGAGTTTTAGTATAAACAAATTGTAGAGGAACAGAAACGAGGAATCAAAATAAGCAAAACCATTGAAGAGCATTTGAAGAGATTAAAGATCAGTTAAGGTCAGTTGAAGAACTGTGACAGCCAAGTTCTGTGAAACATGTAATTAACAGAAAACAACTCTTTTTCAAACTTCTCCTCATGGCAGCCTGGCATTAACTGTAGTCATCATCTAATATCAGATTTTTCTAATCAATACTTCACTAATTTAAATCAGACAGTGGATTTGTACAAATCTGTGTGATAGGTGGGGACATCCAGAAGCCTGGAGCCTGACTTTGTTCTTGTAACCAGCTTAAATAATATACTTTTTTTAAAAAAACAAGTAGTTATTGTTATTTGTTACTGTATTCATGTTTATTCGTATTTATTCCAATGTTATATAGTTATATAATTTTACTGGGACTTCCCAGATGAATTGTCTTGCATTGTAATGTGTTTAGATGTTAAATCTTCTTCACATTACTATATAGACATTTGAATGCAGAAGTTTAGGCACCCCTGGTTGTTTTAATTAATGTTTTAATAGTTGTTTTGTTGATTTTAAGTGAAAATAAATGAACACGTCATCTACAGAGAACACACTTCTGCACATTTTAAAGCCCAATTACTGCCTATTTTCTGAATTGAGCAAATAAAAAAAATACAAAAAATGCAAAAGTCATGGCACATTTGTTCAGCCAGGGGTCAGCAACCCAAATGTTAAGAGCCATTTTGACAAGTTTCAACGAAAATCTAACCACCTTGTCCATTTTATTGAAGTAGCTAACATTTCACCATCTTGTCTGTAAATATGTCTCAGTGTGTGCTGATGTCCTACTAGAGGCTAAAAATATAAATGAAAACGCAGACTTACTTTGCTCTGCTTTAAGCTTTAGCTAAGTTCTAGCGCTTTTCTCGCATCTCCAGCAGGAAACTTTTCCACAAAAGTAGAACAGTTTCTTGTAAAATGTCTCTTAACGTTTGACGTTTTATGAGGCTGCAGTCGCTTCTCATTCGAATTTTCCCGTTCCATGGAAGCTGAGGTGCCAGAATGTAGCAAATTATGTAGCTAACTGTTGCACCATTTGAGGTGGAACGTGAAAATTTGAGAGGCGAATGAGGAGCGACTTCAGCCTCGCAACGCTTTAGCGTTTGTCAGTTTCTCGTTGCAGATTAAACGTATCAGGAAACCAGCTGGAGTGATTATAAACACAAATAAGCCCATTCATCTCCAAATTATCGATGTTGGTCTTAAATCTTTCTCCTTGTCTTTTCGTTAGCTACTCGCTAGGCCAGTATGTTGTCTGTGTGACCAGCAGTCTGTGCACCAACCTTCAGGGTTAAAGGGTAAAGAAGCAGTTCTACATTAACTGCAGCGTTTAAGACCATTTATTGTTAAAACTGTGTTAAAACGATCAGCAGAGCTTTATTTTTACTGTAAAGGAGGATTATTTTATTTTTACCTACAAATCTAATTCTGCTGTGGAGCCACAACAGGGCAGTCAAAGAGCTGCATTGCTGCCGACCCCTGATCCAGTGTTTTTGAGTTCTGCTCAAAATGAGCTAAAATCGTGACCGAAACGGTCACTACTGAGACATTTGGTGATGTTCCAGCATTGTTATGGTTGTTTTGTTAGTGTCAAACTGGTGTGTTCAATCAATTGTTTTAATAAAATAAACATAATTGAGGTAAAGAGTCACTCAAAGCAAGAAGATTTTAGTCTACGGTCCAAATCGGTCAAAAGTTTAAAATGAGTTTTGAACTTTAATTTTGAACCACCTGCTGTAGAGCCGCAACAGGGCAGTAAAAGAGCTGCATTCGGCCCCCGGGTCCACGTTTTACCGACCCCTGTGTTAAAATAAAACGTTTAAATAAAAAGAAATTTGCAGAAAAATGTTATTTCAGTTTGTTCCCCGTAGATAGTAACTTATTTTCACTTAGAAAATCGAGAAAAACACATAATTTGACTCAAACTTGTGCAGACAAATGTATAGATATCAGGTTCTTTCTACATTTAGTGGTGTGTGTTGGGCAGTGTTAGGCAGAAACTGTACTGCATTCAGTGAGAACAGATGCAGATTGTGCATGCCTTCTCCCCAGTGGCATGCGTGACTGCTGCGTTTCAGTATATGCTAATGTAAACCACGTGTGCTCTTAATATGTAATGTCACTGTGCTTCAGTTTATCAGCATGTGTCAGCTCATATCACTGGAACAGTGTCTCAGAGAACTTACAGCTACAGTTAAACTCTTAAAATCTCTCTCTCTCTCTCTCTCTCTCTCTATCAGTAACATTAAATAAAGTCTGACCACAGGAAACTATAAATTGTGTCCCCCTTGGCCTCCCTAGAAGAGCTCTATAAATAGGCCGTGCTGTGCTGTATGTGTGAGGGGGAGGGAGGGGTGCTGATTTAAGAGTGGGGGGTGGACTCAGGAATGAGGAGCAGAAGGACCCTCGCCTCTTTATGTGGGCCCTCTGCTGGGTTAGCATGTGCTGAAAACAGTAATACATTGAATTTGCTTGATTGCTGCATAAATCAAATATCGTCGCTGAAAAAATGTATCTCATGCAAAATCGTTCTTAACTTTAGAATGAAGTACATTGAGTGCGTCCCGTTTGTCTGTGCGCACTGACTTTGAGTCATTATCTGCCTTCTGCTGATCTTGGAAGGCACAGTATCTGACAGTCTCCGGCAATGTGGCCGGCAGTGCGAGTTGTGACACTGAGACAAGTCTTGTGTTGAATCAGTGGTTGTGAGCCAGTGACCGAAATCTGGGTCTTTGGTATTTTGTCTTGCTAATGATGTTGAAAGTTTGTGAACCCTTTCGAATTTTCTATATTTCTGCATATATTAGACCTAAAACTTGTAATATTGGATCATTTTCCTCAATAAATAAATGACGAAGTCTGATTTTTTTGTTTTATTTGTTTAATTTGGTTCTCTTTATCGACTTTATCAACTTTTACTGTTTTACTGACTTGAAAATCTGATGAAGTTTCGGGTCAGATTTATGCAGAAGTATAGAAAATTCTTAAGGGTTCACAAACTTTCAAGCACTAGTATATACACTGACCTGGCATAACATTATGACCACCTCCTTGTCCATTTTATCAGCTCCACTTACTATATAGGTGCTCTTTGTAGTTCTACAGTTACAGACTGTAGTCCATCTGTTTCTCTGCATACTGTGTTAGCCCCCTTTTACTCTGTTCTTCAGTGGTCAGGACCCCCATGGACCCTCACAGAGCAGGTATTATTTGGTTGGTGGATCATTCTCAGCACTGCAGTATCACTGATGTGGTGGTGGTGTGTTAGTGTGTGTCACTTTTGCACTTTTTGAACACTTACGTGGTTTTATCAACCAAAAATGGTCATAATTCATTTTAACCTGACCGTTTTCCAACCTCTCTTTATCTCTTAGGACTAAACAGACTGTTTTTATTACTGTGCCTTTAAGACTGATGTATGTAAATAAGCTCTGTTCTGATTGGCCCTGTATTGTGCCCCATTCAGAAAGCACTCAGAACTGAAACACTCCTTTGTTTAACCCTTGTGTGGTGTTGATGTGTTTGTTACTCAGTGGTCTGGTGGACCCACTGCATTATTGGGTTTTTAAATCAATACAATCATAAGAATTTGTGTAAAAATATCAGATGTTTAAAATATCACAATTGTCCAGCGTAGAGTTCTCCTTTAGCAGCTGTAGCCAGTCAGCAGTCTGTCCATGTTGTCCACCCTCACACACACAGACACACACACACATAAACACACACACACTAACAGCAGGCCATGTAGGAGGAGAACAGAGTGAAGGACACAGCACCTCCACACTTTTACTCCCCGCAGGTTCACCCAACACCACATGTGTAATATAAATGTGGGGGGTGAACAGAGTGAAGACACTGAAAATGGGTAATTTTATATATAAGGACAAGAAATCTGGGGTTGAAATAATAATAAATCGCATCATTTTTTCTTTTGGTAAACATAGAAAACGGGCACCACCGAGCCCAACACCACACACGGGTTAAAAAAGCGAGGGATGATATGACTGGGTTGAATAAAGCTGACATAATTGACTTCATCTGAAACTCTCTTTTTCTCTCCGCCAGGTGAGTCTGGACGCGCGGGTGCGGGAGGTGATCAACAGGAAGATGCAGGAGCCGACTCCGCACACGTTCGAGGACGCGCAGCTGCAGATCTACACGCTCATGCACAGAGACTCCTACCCACGCTTCCTCAACTCCTCCATATACAGATCGCTGGTGCAGGGGGGCTCGCGCTCCTCCTCCGAGTCCTAGACCATCACCCCCCACCCCACCCAACACCGACCTATTTCACTGGCCTCTCTCTCTCTCTCGCTCTCTGTTCTCATCCCTCCATCCCAACACACCTCCTCCCATCGCACAACCACTAAAGGAGAAAGGAGAAAGCACACGCTGGTTTAACGGGATTTCATGCCTTCTCGTCCTGGTTGGATTATTTTTTTATTTCTTTCGTCATTGTTCTGAATCGTCCCCTCGTCCTGCACCTCCTGTCTGTCGTCTTGGAGGGAAGAGCTCCTACCTTCCGGAATCCTCTGAACTTGCACAGACTGAAACTGGAAGACACAGGGTTGACATATTAGTCTCTCTCTCTCTCTCTCTCTCTCTCTCTCTCTCTTTCTCTGTGTCTCTCTTTTTCTGGCCCATCATTCCAGCTTGTGGCTACAGCTGCGACAGCAACAACTACTGATCCATACGACCATGTTTCTGTTTATTTGTTTGTTTGTTTTTTGGTCCTTTTTCCTTTTCAGTACTTGTACGAACACAGTTTAGAGCTTTTGTTTTTTTCTCCTGATGTCATTCATGGTTAAAGAGAGACGAGAGAGCCTCTGCAATAAGACACACTGGAGTCCACTTTCTCCACTCTGCAGCTGACCGGTTTGCCTATTGCCTGTCACCTTTGACCTGTCCACTGTCTCCCTTCTCTGATTGGCTCTCTGAGGCAAAGGGGTTGAGTGGTGGTTGGATGATTGCTGTCGTTGTTTTTTTAAAGGGAGGGGTTAAAAGTTTCCCAGGTGCAAAAAAGGAACAGAACATGTGGAATGCTAACAAATTTCTAACGTATTATCTGAGAGGAGGACGATAGATTTAGTCAAAAAAAAAGAGGGAGGGGAAAATGCCTAGGTCTTAATTAGACTGGTCACTCAAGTACATTTGAAATTTATTATTGTTAATGTTATTTATTTTTTCTGTTCGTTCAAACTGTCATTTTTTTTTTTTGTTCGTGTCCAAACTAGAAGCTGGTACGTATGACGTGATACAAGCCGATCAAGGTCACGAGAGCTCGGTGCTCTCTCAGGGTGTGTGTGTGTAAATGGGTAAGCAAGCCTCAGCCTCTCTGGTACATCCTTCAGTTAGATTGATGGGGTGGGACGTTATAATACGTTATATACATGTTATACTGTAAAACTGAGAACAATATCTAAAGCTAAGACCCCATTTACACCTGGTTGTTTCATGCAAGCCCTGCGATGGACTGGCGACCTGTCCAGGGTGTATCCTGCCTTCCGCCCAATGACAGCTGGGATAGGCTTCAGCACCCCACCGCGACCCAGAAGGATAAGCGGTTTAGATGATGTATGTATGTGTGTTTCATGCAGGTATCAGTATCACATCTGGAGATTAGCCACATAAAAATGCAAGGTAAATGCACCCCAGACTCACTTAAAACTTAAATCTGATCACTCATTTCACTTTAGGAGGTGGTTCGACAGGCATTTTAGCCAGATTTTATAGAAGTGTAAATGCTTTCAGTAGCCTTTAGCAACCTGAGCAAGTGAAAATAAGCACCAGTTGGGTTAATCTGTACTTCACCTCGTCATTATTCAGTGTGTCACAACAATACATTACGTTTAACGCATATGGTCAATGACCGTGATGACCAAGACAGGAGATGCCTTATTCTTAACAGCTGTCTTCTTGTAAACATCACTGTAAAGTCGCAGTAAAGAGATAATTCAAAATTGTGATTTTCAGGTCAGCAACCAGCTTTAGAATAGAGCAGTTAAACATAACAAGGCAAAGTAAAGATTAACAGAAGTGTTGGGTACTAGGGTACTGATACGCCCTCATACCAGGACAGACTCTGGCTTTTGAACTTTACACTGGTAACAGTCTAAATTGTCCTTTTCTTCTTTGGCCCAGAGAGCATGATGTCCATTATTTCCACAAGGAGCAACCCAGGCAATTGGTTGTTGTACGTTAGCTGATTTGCATATTATGCTCCACATAGCAATCAGTTTTCTGACTAACCAGAGATGCCTTTGTATATTAGTGTAAGTTATGGATGTGCGATGATATTGGAATCATATCAGCAACTAAATTTTATTGATTTTACCGCACTTGAAATGCTATACATTGAGGCCCAATCCCATTTCTTATTTTTACCCTTACCCCTTGTTTTCGAGTGTCACCTAGCCCCTTGGAACTTAGTTATGGGGGTAGTGGTTGAAATCTTCCCTACGAAATGGGACCCTCAAATAAAAAAAGAACATTACTTCATTTATAGGCTACTAATGGTGCTCTGTAGGCGACCCTGCCAGTCTGCAGTGATAGCAGAGGAGGGTAAAGTTCAGCAACCTTGCTAGTTAAAGGAGGGACCATGTAGCCCTAACACTTCGCCCTACCCCTCTATCTCAACAAAAATCGGGACACCCTACCCCCAGACATGAACGTGCAAAATAGAGAACTAAGGGCTAAGTGGTAGGGGTGAGGGGTGAAATGGGATTGGGCCCAAATGTAGCACTTCTCCATAATGCCAATTCAGATAGATTTAGTCTTAATTTCTACAGTTGATACATGTTTACATATCAGCATTGGCAGACACATGAAATGTTTAGCCCACAGTTCCCATATCAGTGAATCCCTACTGTAAATGCATCTGCTTAATATCTTATTGGGTTTCAATCCAGATAAGTCACATGAAGCAACAAGGAGTAAATGGGGCCTTTTCGGACAAATTTAGCGTATAGATTCCTAAGGACTCTTTTGGAAATTTTGACTGTTGGAATAGTTTGAAATTTTGGCGTTTAGACTCCTTAATCAAGATGAATTACTGTTTTTTACGGTTCTATGGTTTTTCAATAGTCACCCAGTTCCTTGGCAAATAATGTACTGGATCTCCTACCCAGGTCCATTACCTGTGTAGTAATTCCATTCATTTAGTGGTTTGTCACACAGTGCTGACACTGTGCACTAATGGCACGAATGAATTCTTCTGGCAGGGTTAGTTGAAAAGATGGTTCATTGACAAAATGTTGAGCTGCCTTTCTAAAATTTTCAAACGGTATGTATTGGATTTCCAGAGGAAGCTGGAGAGGCGCTGGTTTCCACTCAATAGACTTAGAATGGAACATCTTGTGTTGTTGTGGTCATATAGATTGACCACTTGTATACATATATACACACATACACACACCGCGTTAACGCCTGTTGTGTATTGCGCTGATATTGCGATACTGTATGTTTAGAAGATAATCATATTTCATGACAGGGCTCTGAAACACATTGTAGCCTAGTTGTTCTGATGAGTGTGTGTATGTGTGTGTGTGAGTGTGTGTATGTGTGTGTGTGTGTGTGTGTGTGTGTGTGTTGCATTGTATTTTTGCTGGAGCTGAGCGGATGCACATCTTGCCTCCTTTCTCTCCTTTACCTACCTAAAGGAACAGTTATGCTAATGTTGCTAACAATGAATGAAAGTGAACAGGCATCAAATAGCATTATACAAATGACATAATGTTGACTGGTGGCTGCCAGTTCACATCCATTTTACCCATGTTGGCATGTTTTGTTCCTTTACTCTATAAAGCAGATACATAAACTCGCTCCATATACTACTGTAAAAGTCTAGGAAGAGTAGTTACTGTATATTATTTTGGATCTTAAGTTACTGTTACTTGTCTTTCAACTCGATCCCTGATCGAAAAATGTGAGCTTTCAGTGAAACGCTCAAGATGGGGCTCCACTCACCATTTCTCTTTCTTCTGCTTTTAAAGCTCAGTCAGGAATTGCTGGATGTAGAAGCCTGTTTTTTTACCCTCTTGAACCCTGATTCTAATCCTAATCTCAAGACTTGTTATCCAGAAACAACTATGGATTATTCAGTAAGGACTATGAAACTTATAGTGATATTTATTTTGCGGGGCTACAGGCCACATATGGGCTTTTAGGATTTAAGGGCTTAATAGTACAGAAGATGCTCTCAAATACAAACCTCCAATTCCAAAAAAGTCGGGACTGTGGGTGAAATGCTTATAAAAACAGAAAGCAGTGATTAGTAAATTTATTTTGACTTGTATTCAATTGATAACAGTACAAAGACAAAGATATTTGATGTTTTACCTTATGAACGTTTTTTTATTATTCCAAATTTAATGCCTGCAACATGTTTCCCAAAACGTTGTGACAGGAGCGTGTTTATGTTTACCTCTATGTTACACCACCTTTTCTTTTAGCAACACTTAATAATCATTTGGGGACTGAAGACACCACGTAATGCGTTTTTAAAGCAGAATGTTTTTCTGTTCTCTAGTTATAAAAGTGTTCAGGTGCGCAGCCATATAGGACCTTCATTGTTGTATTTTGTGCTTCATAATGCAGCACACAGGTTTGGACAGCAGGCAGGCCAGTCTAGCATACAGCGATGCTGTGGTAACACATGCAGAATGTGAATAAGCATGGACGCTCTTGAAAAAGACGTCATCTAGAAGGCAGCAAAATGTGTGTACATCTTTTAAGTGTTGATGTTGTCTTCACAGATGTGCAAGTTAGAGGCTTATGCGCTAATACACCTCCGTACCATGACATACCCTGGCTTTTGAACTTTATGCTGGTAACAATCTGGATGGTATCTTTGGTCTCTGGACCGGAGAACAAAACATTGTCAGACCAGAATACATTTTCCACTGTGCATCAGTCCATTTATGATTAACCCGAGCCCAGAGAAGTCGGCAGTGTTTCTCGGCATTGTTGATGTATAGCTTCCACTGTGCATAGCTTGCATTTATAGAGGCAGGGATAAATGGTGTTTGTCAATAAAATATATCCCAAGCCCATGTGGTGAGATCCATCACTGCCAGTTTTTAAAGCAGTGCTGTCTGAGGCATCGAAGTCATTCTGTTGTGGTTTTTCAGCTTTGCCTTTCTCCTAATTCCCTGAATTTTTTGATGATATTAAGAGTGAAGTACCCCCTCAGGGCAACATACCCCAAAAGGACCCCTGCACACATTACTATTTAAAAATGTTTTTGAATTTAATAATCAGCTCGATTTTATGCAAGAAAAGTGAATTGAATATTTTTTTTTAATTCCTCTCATAATGCATGCAGTAGAGGGTTAAATTGTTGGATTATCCACTGATGCATTTTTTTTGGCATAGTGGTCAGCCTCAACCCATCCTTGCTTATAAAGGACC